ATCATTAACATCATCATCAACATCAGCATCATTTTCATGTCTGGCTGTGTGTGTGTGTGTGTCATATACATTTTCATTATTATCATTAACAATTTTTGTGTTGTATAAAAAGTTAATCTTATTATTATTATCATTGTAACACCACAAAACACAACGGCAACAACCATTCACTATGTATGCAAACACCCGAAAATAGTTGTTTGCACTTGAAATTCTTTTTACAACAATTCAACATTAGAATAGCAAAAAAAATAGATGTCAAGATCTGATACAATAACAATAACAACAACAAGTTTGTACAGTCAACAAAGAGAATAACAATAGAATTGATAACACACACACACAGAATCCAAACAAAATGAATGAAAAGATAAATGAATGTTGATGATGATGTTTTACTATTATCATTGCTTGTGGGATTCAGGAATTTACTAATGATACAGCAACAACAACAAACAGTAATCGAAATGCATAAACAAAAATAAAATGAGAAAGAGAAAATGAGAGAGAAACAAATAACCCACAAAAACCCGTTTTTATACATACAAATCTACAGAATCGGTATATCCTCTTATCAATTAATGATTAGATCCATACATACTCTCTCTCTCTCACACACACATACACAATATTAGTGTGGTCGACACTATTGTGTCGGCTATCGGTTATTTGAACAAAACAAAACAAAAGTTGGCATCTGCCATGTGATATTCTCTTTTCCCTAAATGATATTTGTGTTTGAAAATGAATTTTTTTTTCTCTCTCTCTCTCTCTTTAGTTGTTTTAGTTTTTATATTTGGATCAAAACTATCATTGCCATTGGGTAAAAGAAATAGGGGCCCGAAAATGAGAACAAACAAAATGGGAGGAGGATCATTGAACCAGAGAAAAAAATTTTGGTCCCAAAAATAAATTAATAAATTTTCGTTTATATCCACAAAAAAAACTTTGATATATATTCAATACATGATGATGATGATGATGATGATGATGATGATGATGATGATGATGATCATCATCAGATGTTACCGAAAAATGTAGAATTTATTATTGTTATTATTATTTTATCAAATCCATAAAAGAATAGGGATAGAATTCAAATCAAACAAAAGCAAGAATTTGTTCTGTATAATAGGAAAAAAAGCGCAACCAACAAAGGAGAGAGAAAGACAAAAAAGAAAGGAAAAAAAATTGCAAAGCCAGCATTCATTCATTCCATACGTGCACTACAATTCCTCGGGTCACAATGCGTACAAATTTGAAACAATCAAGAGATACGATACGAATCCAACAATATCACACACACACACACACACACATGGGACCTACATGGTATATTCAATTCATTTATAGCATAGAAAACCACCGAAAAGCAAGCAGAAAAAAACCGGACAATAAAACATATCGGTACTAATAGCCTATCTATGTGTGTATGTGTTTTCCACAAAAAATTTTTTTTTTCAGGGACTAGAGTGGATATTATCAAGGGTTTATTAGAACTAATTTGGACCTACTAAAGAATGATGATAAAATTAAATGTATCTAAAACATAAGCAAAATTCTTTTTTTTTATTTGCAAGTTTATTAGCATTGCATGACATCATCGTTCAGATTAACTAAGAATTGTGCTGTTTCTTTAACCAGTAAATGTATGGCATTTCATTTTGGATACAACGAATAATAATAACGATCATAAAATGTAATAACGACAACATGAACAAAAAAAACAGTTTACATTTGGAAGTATCCATGTTTCACTTCATAATCGTAAATCAAATTGGCTCTTTTCTTTTTCTCACCCACACACACACACACAAACACATTGATAACCAAATCGTCACGAAAATTTGGATCATATTCACCACAAAAAAACGACAGAATTTCATTTCAAAAAGCTAAATATACATTGAGACGGACACCGACACAAACAAACATAGAATTATATTACGAATTTTATTTGCAAGTGTGAATCAACCACATTTAGAATGATCATTATCATCGGATGATGATCATCAATAATTGAATATAAACACACACACACACACACAGAGAGAGAGAGAGAGAAAAAAAGACAAAAACACAATAATACACACGCACACCTTCATTTTCGATAATAGAATGATATTTTTTCCCTGGTTTTGGATCATACCAAATGTTATTATTCTGTACCACAAACATCAACATCCGAATCATGTTGATGACTAAAGTCAAGTGTATGGAAAAAAAACTCAGACATTCAAGAATAATAACAACAAAATAACATGATGATGACAATGACAATTGGCTACGGACAAGCAAAAAAAAAAAAAAAAATGTTTGTTTGTTTGCTGTCCATTTCACAATTTACATTACACACACAAACACACATTCCAAGTTATTTGAAATGAATGTGATCGAAAAGGGATTGATGAATGTATCGAATTGATGAAACAGACAGCATCAGCAAACATACATACACTTTGACATTATTATAATTCACATTTGCCATTTCCATTGCTAAAGTATCTCGATGATGATGATGATGATGATGATGATGAACACAACAAACAAACATTTCTTAATTCATTGTAACAAAAATTGTAACGGAAATGTGCAAACAAAACACACAATACACTTAAATAGAATAGCAAAAAAAAACTTTTATGTGAATTGAATTGAAACGCATTCATTTCATCCAGAAAAAAAAACATCAATCTAAAACATTACATTTGGAACCAATAAATAGAATGATAGGCGTAATTACAAATCTATGTTATTTTTGAATCATCATTGATTTCATTTGGAATTCTGAATTAGGTGAATCAAATAGATCAATTTCGTTACCACCGGTTTTTTTTCTGTTGATGATGACCATAGCATGATAGTAGATATCGAATATATTTGATTCGATAAATGGATTATGTTTGTATTTTGATCAAATCCTTCTCCCTCCCATAGATAAAAATAAATGAAAATGGAAAGCCAAAAAAAAAGCAATTCAATTATTGGTGGAAAGCTATCTTAAAAAACACGTAGTAGAAAAAATCGATCTTTTCAGTGAATTTTTTTGCCACATAAAAAAAATTCAACAAAACACACATGAACAGTGTGATTCGTAAACGAATGTGAGTAGAATACGTAAAACAAGAATAATGCAACACTTATCGGGAACAAAAAAAAATCAAATCATTTTGTCCATTCATATCTAGAGAGAGTTTATTTCTGGATTTAGAATGAAACTTGAAATTTATGATGATGTCCAGTGCTAGGTGGCATGGATTCTTTACATTTCTGGTCAAGATTATGACATTCAATGTCAAACGGTTTTATGTTTTTCTCATTTTTCATATTGAAAACTGAATGAAAAAAAAAATCATTTTTTGGATGTGTATATTTACTTCCCAAAAGGCAATGCATCATTGGAACCAGAAAAAAAACAGAAACCATTCTAATTTAATTTGATTTAAAATGAAAATTCAATTCTATCGATTTTTCTTTTCTATAACAAAATATAAAAGGGAAAAAACATCGTGTTGTCATCATGATTGAAAATTTGCCAATAGTTTGACTAGGAAATTTTCAAAAACATTCTCGATCGATTATGATTTCTGACCACCGAAATATACGAATGTATAAATTCGAACAATTTTCTTTGATCATTCAATAATGAGAAAAAAAATCGAAGCTAATTTGGTTTTGATTAGATTTTTGAATCATCTAGAATGTGTGTATGTGTTTGAAAAGAATGAAAAAAAAAATTCTGAAATTATGTTTCCAGAGTGGGAATGAATTTTGAAATTGAATTTTTTTGGACTAAAATCAAAAGCCATCGACAGCTATGACAACAACAACAACAACAACAAACTGTCATCTTTTTTTGGCTATGCTTATTTGTAAAAAATAATTTAATCTGTCACAGCAGTTCTTCAGAAGTGGGAGAAAAATAAAATCTGGTCAAACATGTCAGGAAAAACAAAATTTGCGGCCAATTGCACTCATACAAAAAAAAATGAATGAATCCAATGTTTTTTTGTGGATTATCTCACAATATGAATGGAACATAAAAATACAATAGAAAACAGTATGAAACTGGCCCTAATAAGGACAAGAAAAAATTCGTAAAGTGTTCATTATTTTCAAAATCATAATGTCTGCTGTTGATCAATAATTTATAAAACAAAATCCTTACCAAAAAAAAAAATAACCAGAATCAAATAAAATCAAAAAAAAAGACTAATTGATTATATATTAAATTATTGATAAAATCAAAGTATAGTCATCCTGTATGTATAATATTGGCAAAAAATTTACAAATTGAGAGTAGTTTTGAAAAAAAGTGACCAGTTACCATCAAAATAATTGAATTACAAATTCGAATCCGATTCGTATGTGGTTGTTTGACAAAATAAAGATAAAGCCAATGCGAAATAAATGCACGCAAATCCAAGATGAAAAAAAATTGCCAAAACTGAACACCTACCTGTAAAAATGAGAAAAAAATAAAGAAAAATTCGTTTAATATTTCAATTTCAATAGGTAAAAAAAATCGATAATAAAAATTTATGACGACAATGTTTGATTTTCAAACAATTTTAAAAGTAAGAATTTATTTGCTGATAATCCAGGAATTGAATTATGTTTTTGTTTTTTTTTTTTGATCACAGTTTGATTCAATCACATATATAGCCTGATGAATAAACCAATAAACGGTTTTACATTAGAAAATGGTTGGTTATTTACATCAAGAACTTATTTCACAATAATGAGTAATATTCTAACATTTTTCTTTCTAGTTTTCCGACAATTTCATTAGAAATGAATATTTATTCATACAAAAATAAAATAATAATAATAAAACAAATAAAAAACTTGGAATTTCAACAGAATTATTCAAATTCATTAGAAAAAATCACGAAAAAAATGGAATAAAATAACAGTGAAAAGAAGAGAGAATTCATATTTTAAAAATATCTGTCCCTAAGAAAATCAAAAATCAATGAAATCAAGGTTTTTTTGCCCGTTGAAAATTAAAAATTTGTTTCACATACACAAATACATGAATACAATCAAATCGATCATAGATAATAGGTTTTTTACCCATACATAGTTTGTGAATGTTAAATGAGGTAATGGGAATTGAAGAATGAAAAAAAAATTTATTTTTGGTAATAATGCATGATTGTCAACAGAGTGTGGAAAATTACCATTCTAGATCGAATCGTTTCTTGTTCACATAATAAATTTGACAAATAAAACAAATATATATAAATAATGAATTTTTTTATGAAATGTTCGTATTTTGAATCAATCATTAAATTTATGAAAATGTATTTGAAAATGTTGTTGAAAAAATTTGAGGAAATATTTTATGAACATATATTCTGCTTATTCTATTATAACCGTTTTATATTGAAAAAATGGCCAAATTTTTTCACTATTATTAATATTGAACATCGACAAAAAATTTTTGATCAAAAAATTAGTCGACCATTCTTTCAAGTAATCATACCGGGCTTTGTGACAACATTGTTTGCCGTTACATTGTTCATCTATGTTTGTGAACCTGTTTGGTGTGAACAATATTCCTTTTGGTTGGTGAATAATTTTCCGCATGAAAATGGCAAAACATATTCATTGATTGTTGCTATAACATGGTCATCAATACATTTCTTGCAAATGTTTTATGGATTTCGTAATCAATTAAAATATTTTCGTTTTCTTATTATATTGAATCCGAATCAATTGGTCCGACAACAAAGTCATCATCATCAATTAAATGAAACGGGACTTAATGAAAAGGATCGAAATCAATTACAATTGTTTGAGAGAAGAATTTTCATTTGTTTGAAAATAATAAGCCATGTTATATCGATCGGTGCTTATGTAGCGATGACCATACAGGTTTTCCGTAAATCGTTGTGGGAAGTATCATTTTTTTGGTTAATCTTCTGGATGGCCAATTATATATTTTGGCCATATTACATATGTTCAGCGTTGTACATGTTTCCAGCCATTATTCTATCAGTCCATTATTATATTGGTTTAAAACAAAGATCATTGCTAAGTCAACTGATAATTCGACCTAGAAAACAATACGGAAAATTGGGGCTAAAATTGGCTAATAATTTAATTAAATTAACTCACGTGCAATCGAATATAATCAAAGAAATCGTCGAAATGAATGATCAATCGAAACGTTTGTTGACCATATTATTCGTAGGATTTAGCAATTTAATCACTTATATAACATATTTGATATTTTTCGCTAAATTATCCATCGTATATCGGATTTTATTCATCATTGTTTATTGTGGTCATTCAAGCACATTATTATCAATGATTTATAGCTGTTCTAAAATTGCCTCAAGAAATGAGCGATTTTATCGATACAATCGAAAATATCTCTTCGATTTCTATGCAAAAAATTTGTTGATTATGAAAAATTTTTTCAAGGTAAACAAATTTTTTTTGCACCATTTTCTCAATAATTTTTTGCTCTTATTAATTTCATTTCAGTATGATTCGATCAATGAGATATCTCTACGGCTTCCGGTCGGTTTTACTTTGGTTAATAATATGCTGATCACAAGTAATACATTCATTGTGGTTTTTTATAACATGAGTACACTTTTTTTCCTATTAATGAGTGGCAAAATTGTCAACGATGGTCAATAAAAAAGAAAGAAATGTCTCTCATTTTGATGTAGCTAACAATATAAGTTTATCAATCAATGAAAATAAAGTGTTTATCGATTAAAAAAAAGTTTAGTCAAACTTTGTACCATTCTTAATTGCTAACTATACTCAAATAGTTTCTGAAGAATCATCATTTTCTTTATTAGTTAAAAACTTGATTTAATCAAATTTAAATTTCTAAGAATTTCCATTCAATTAACCATAATCAAAGACATGAATGTTTATTCCATGATCATTATTCAATTCTTTAATCGTAAATTATTAATATGAAAAACAAAATTAAATATAAAAAACTTGTAAAAAATATTTGCCTGATTTCTGATCAAAAATGACGAATAAAATTTAAATTTCAATGGAATTGGTTACTTTTTTTAAGTAATAAAAAAATCAATCGAAGATTCAGTTGGTTTCAAAAAAAAACAGGTGATTCAAATTAAATTGTACCATTATGAATGAAAAGTAAGTTGAAATTACTGACAATAATAATAATAATATTAACCAACTTTTATTACAACAGCGAATTTCAATGGAGATAATTACCTCGAAATATTTTTCTGTTCAAGTATGTACTTGAATTTATTCTTCACTAATAGAATGAACTTTTCCCTCTTTCTCTATTCATAGCATTCAATCTATGTGAATACTAAGAATTATCGATCATATTATACATTGTCATCGAATAAAGAAAATCTAGTGGTATCATATCTGCATTAGTTCAATTTAGGCAATCAAGACTTCAATAAATAAATAGAGAAAAAGTCACTAGGACTGATGACAATCAATTAATCGACCAAAACCATTCCATATGGATTTTTATACAGTGGATTCTCGACTTACGAACAAAATTTTAACGAAAAAAAATTTAAATTTGAAATTTTGAATTTTTCCAACGAAAAAAGAATGTAGAACCAATCAATTGTGATTCAAATTGGCTGTCAAATAAACTAATAAATTATCATAATTGATGAAATTTCTTAATTTCAACCGGACATTAAAAAATTTAAACTTCTGGAACGCAATTGTTCATTGGTAGAGTTCTCACTGTTCAACCAAAAAAAGAAAATGCCATCATTATTATCGTTGATAATGATATTGCATGGCGAAATTCATAATTCAAAAAAACCGATAAAAAACGTAACATTCTTGAGTTTTTCATTCATTCATCAAACTAAGCAACAACAGAAATGTTAGATCAGAATGTCGATGGAGAAATTAATTCAAAAATTTTATGAACATATATTTCCATTGCTTTATTATAATCGTCTCATATTGGAAAAATGGCCAGATTTTTTTTTAAATGATGATGGTTACATACGACAAAAAAATTTCAATCAACATCTTGGTCGTCCATTTTATCAAGTTACAATACCTGGTATTATTACGACATTTATTGGCCTAACAATATTCATATACGTTAATAATCCAGCTTGGTGTCGACAATATTCATTTTGGTTATTGGCACAATTCCCACCAGATGATGGTGGACAGATATATACATTAATCGTAGCCGCTATATGGTCATTATTACATATGCTACAAATGTTTTATGGATATCGTACAAATCTACGGGATTTTGATTTTCTTATTGTTCTAAATCTTGATCCAGAAACCGTTGTGCGAAAAGAAAATGGAAATAAAGAAAATAAAAAATGTAATGACCGATTATTATTGAATGCCAATGAAAGGCAACAATTAAAAACCTTTAAAAGGCGAATGTTTTTCATCCTCAAATTGATAAGTCATTCAATAGCGGCTGTTGGCTACACTGCAATAGCCATACAGATTGTACTAAAACGTCTTTGGGAGTTATCGTTTTTTTGGTTAATTTTTTGGAGTTGGACATATGCTACTTGGTCATATTATATCTGTTCAGCTTTATATCAATTTCCAACTATTGCCCATTTAATATTTCATTATATAAGATTGAAACAAAAATCAGTACAAAAACAAATCACACGTCTTAATCAGCTAATGCAATCATCAACATCGTTAAATCGAAAATCCAAATATAGAATGACAAAACATTTCATTCGCATAAATCGTATGCATTTCAATATAAACAAAGAAATTATTAAAATGAATAATCAATCCAATCGAATTTTAACCATATTATTGACTGGTTTTACAAATCTTATTACATATATAACATTTCTTATTTTTTTTGTTGAAATGTTTTCAGTTTATCGTCTGTTACTTATTATTGTTTATACTGGCCATTGCTGTACTTTATTATCATTGATATATTGCTGTTCAAGAATTTTCACAAGAAATCAACAATTTTATCATTCAACACGTAAATATTTGACCAATTCATATGCAAAAAATTTTATGAATGTTATTAATTTTAACAAGGTAAAATAAATTTATTCCATTGAACAAAACTAATTCAAATTTATTTTTTTTTCGATAGTATGAATCAATCAATGAGATATCGATGAAAATACCATTTGGTTTCACATTGACTAACAATATATTGATTACGCAAAATTCATTTACAACCGTATTCTATGATATGAGTACAATATTTTTTCTATTAATGAAATGAAAATCATGAATTTCAAAAACAGAAAACAACTAATCCATGGCGATTTCATATTCTTATTCAAAACAAAACAAACAAACAACAACAACAACAACAACAAAACAACAACAAAAATGGCAAAAATTACTTATCTACTTTTGTGTTAAGATTTAAAATTTAATGTATCTAAGATGAAATAATATTATGAACTAGATAGAATGTGAAAACACCATAGAAACACAAATATTAAATTAGAGAAAAAAAGTGGAAATGTATAATAATATTAATAAAAATTAATTTATAAGATCATTAGTGCTATCCTAATGAAACAACCATTCCAACCATTAGTGCTAACCTCAAGAAAAAATCGAGTTGTTTTCTTTTTTTTTTTTTGAATTCATTCGTCAGTTGCCGATTTAACCGAGAAGAATTTTCATCATGAAAATCTTGAATCTTATAGATTGGGAAATACGTCTTTGGTATCGTTTGATGCAAAATAGATATTATCGACGATTTCATAACTATGTTTATTGGCTTTATCATCACGATGAACTAGTACGAAAAAAATTGGAATATCAAAAGAATGGCCATGAAATTTGTATTCGTTATACATTTTTTCAGATGATTTTACCCGGTATTATGACCGCAATTGTTAGTATTGGTTGTGCATTATTTGTATTATCGCCGGATGGTTTTAATCCATTTTTTCAAGCATTGGGCATATTTTTTCCATTAAAAGGACAAAAATATCTATGCACTGTAATGGGCATTTGGTGTGCAAGTATTACGGCTATTAAGTTCTATGATCTATATACTGGATTTCGACAATATGGATTTTTAAAAATTTTTCATCTAAAACAACCAACTGGATTGAATGTTAATCCTGAGCAATTAAAATGTTTGAGATTATATCGTGACCGTTTGTTTTCAATCACACGAAGTACAATCAATATGATCTATGTATTTGTTTTTATTGCATTCGGTTCAATGGCTTTATTTAAATCATGGAAATATTCACTTTTCGGTGCCATATTCTGGTATTTGTCATTATTGAATGCAGCTTTACATGGTTGTGTTGGTGAGATTTTAATGCAAAACAAAAAACTTTTCTAAATCCTAATTTCAAATGAATTTTTTTTTTCTTCAAATAGTTTTATATCATACACCGATGATTATTGCTGTATGTCAATATTATCTTGAATTGAAACAACGAGCGTTGGATTCGAAATTGGAAAATTTTTACAAACGTTTGATGTTAATTCGACCAAAATTGAATATGAAATCTTTTCTCATCATACGAATGAATTATGAATTGACACAAATCACAAAAGCATATGATGATTTGATAAGGGAAATTGCGACCACTAATAACCAGGTAAAATGGTTTAACACGATGCTTTTTTTGTGTCTAATTACGGCACAAACATATATGACCAGTGTCTTATTGTTGGTGGAAATCCCGATCCAATTTTTATTTCTTTTTACGGCAAATTTAATTGTTAATGATGTTTTGTTAACAATTATGTTACATCGTAGTTCAAGGATTGATCGTCTCAATAAGAAATTCATTCATTTGAAACAAAAATGTCTTTATGTTTCAAGTTGTGAAAAGAAAATTTTTACTGTTCGTAATACTATAAAGGTGAGTGTTATCCATAATCGAATAAAATTTGAATAATTAAAAAAAAACTATCTAAAATCCTATAGTGGACATCAATGTGTAGCACTATGCTATATCATCCATTTGGTTTCACATTGGCTAATGGTCAAGTATTCACATCAGCTTCGTTTGTTAGTGTAAGTTTTTTAAAATCAATGTATATGAAAAAAAAAAATTTTCATTAATTTTTAATTTTAATTGATTAATCATAAAAAAAGGTAATCGCAAATATAAGTGCATTTTTCTTCCTGTCTTCACAACATATTGCTTAAATTCGATCGAATGTCATAAAAATTATGGCGATGCAATGAATTGATCAACATAATAATTAATGATGATTATAATGAATTTTTTTTTAGAAAATTAAAAAGAAGTCATTTTTTTTCTTTCATTTTAAAATTGAAGAAATGTTTATTATTTTCTATGAGAAATAAAAATTTAACGATCACATTCAAATGAAATAATTGTGAAAATGAATTTGCCATGAAAACAGACTGTTTTAATTCTTTTTTTCGTGAAAATTCATGACATTTCATGTTTCTCAATCTGACCAAAATATTCATCAGTTGCTAACGTCAGAATAAATGAAATGTTCATTGAAAAAAGTCGGAAAATATCATTTTTACTTAAGAATAATGGATGAATAAATGTTGAGATTTAAGATTGCAATTAACCTATTCAAAAGCTGAAAATAATGACAGAATATGGTTTTCACGAGAAAGCACTAATAAGAATTCAAGATTAACAAGTTTAAGATAATGAAATTATCTCAACAATTATGATGGAAAAGATTTTGAGATTTTCATTCTTCTTTTGACAACAATATAAAGAATTGGTTTCACAAAACGCAAAACTTTTTAAAGAAAAATGAAGCTTATAGATATGGAAATAGCTCTTTGGAATCAAATGATGACAAACAGATATTATCGTCGTTTTCACAACTATGTCTATTGGTTATATCATCATGATGAATTGTTAACTAAACAATTGAATGGCCATCAAAAATGTAATCAATCAATCAAGATTCATTATTCCTTCATTCAAATGATTTTACCCGGTATCATGACTGGAATTCTTTGTATTGGATGTGCTTTATTTGTTCTATTACCGGATCATTTGCAATCGTTTCCATTTATCAAAACTTTAGGTTCATTTTTTCCAACACAAGGACAAAAATATTTGTGTTCTGTGATGGGTATATGGTGTGCAAGTATTACGGCTATAAAATTCTATGATCTATTTACTGGATTCAAAAAATATGGATTTTTACATATTCTACATTTGAAACAATCCAAAGGACGTAATCTAAATAGTGAACAATTACAACGTTTACGTTCATTTCGTAATCAATTATTTTCACTGTCAAGAGCTATAATAACTTTGATTTATTTGTTTGTTTTCATCGCATTCGGATCAATGGCTATATTGAAAGCTTGGAAATATTCACTATTTGGTGCAATATTTTGGTATTTACAATTGCTTAATGCAGCATTACATGGTTGTGTTGGTAAGTTTTGTTTTTTTTCAAAAAAAAAAATCTATTTTCATTGTTTGTTTATCTGGTACTTTCTTGGAAATCAATATTTTGATTCAAGTTTTATATCATACACCAATGATTATTGTCGTATGTCAATATTATCTTCAGTTAAAACAGCAATCATTGAATAATAAGCTTGAAAAATTATATAATCAATTAATCAAACGAAAACAACATGAATCTGCAATCAAATCCGATCAATATTGGATAAATTTACGCTTTAATAATGAATTGACAAAGATCAATAAATTATATGGAAATTTATTGAAAGAAATCTTCATCACTAATGAAGAATTAAAATGGTTTACAACCATTATGTTCGTGTGTCTGATTATGGCACAAACATATATGACCTGTGTCATTCTATTGGTTGAAGTACCGATTGCGTTTTTACTATTATTTGCAATTAACCTATTTGTTAATGATTCATTGTTATCGATAATGATATATAGTAGTTCAAGGATTGAATATCAAAATCGGAAATTCGCTTATTTAGAACGAAAATTTTTATTTCTATACAATTGTTGGGTGAGGAAAAATATTTTCTTTATTAAAAATAAATTGAAAGTAAGTTTTTTTTCATGTATTCAATCATTAATTAATATCAATATTTTCTCCATTTATATCTGGATATAGTGGACATTAATAATTGATACAATGTTGATTCATCCATTTGGATTTACATTGGCAAATGGTGTGGTTTTCACAACGGCCACATACATCAGTGTAAGTGACAGAAAAAAAAAGAATTTTTTACTTAATTTTTCATCAAATTCATACATTTTTACATCAAATTTTTTTTAGGTGATAGGAAATATAAGTGCATTTTTCTTTCTGGCTTCTCAACATATTGCTTGAAAAACATTCTGATTGACCAATATTTGGCCCATTGGTTGTTTTGGGAACGAAAAAAAAAAATCTTAATTTGCTTCAATAATAAAAACATAAAAAACATATATATTTTCATTTTAATTGCAATGTAGATGAAAAAAAAAATATTAATTATTCTTTAAAAAATAATGATATTTCATTAAAGTAAAAGTAGCAATTTTTATTGTTGATTTGTTTGGAAAAACTTTGTCTAAAAAACAAAAGAGAGGATCAACAGAAAAAATGTCATTTGAAATTATTATTATGATGATGATAATAATCATTTTATTCATAGATAAAAAAAAGATTTTTTTGGAATTAGCTTGCATAGTTGGAATCGATATGGCTGGTTTTGATGACTAGAAGATTTAGAAGAAAAAAATAACAAATAAATCACCGTCCATACAGGTTATGTAAGATATTTTGTTATAATAATAAATCAAATATGGTTTTTTTGGATAATGTTAAATCAATATTGAAAATTTTGTTTTTTGAGATTCGTAACACATGTTGAATTATCAATGATTGTGATCCAGGAAAAAAAGTTTGATTTTTTCTCAAAAATTTGTGAATATCAGAGTTTCATTTAAATACAAAACCAGTAGAAACACTCAAATACACACACACACACACACACACACATATACACCAGAATGGCAGCACTGCTTGATTGGGAAATTCGTTTGTGGAAAAGAATGATGTTGAATAAATATTATCGTATCATCCACAATCATATTATGATCCTATATCATTTTGATGAATTATTACAAAAATACGAAAATCATCAATTAGAAGATGGTGAAATTATCGACGCAAATGGTAAAATTCCACGTTCATTTTTACATCTTATAATGCCAAGTATATGTAATGCTGTGTACATATTTGGTGCAATGTCCTTTGTCATCTGGAGTCAACATTTAAAACGATATGCATTCTTCAATACATTACCAGCGTTTCTTCCTGAAGAAGCAAAAAAATATAATCTAACTGTTATTGCTGTATGGGCATTAATTGTCATATTGCAAATGTTCTTTGGTCTATCCACACGAATTGAACAATATAGATTTTTGCATATTCTCCATCTTGAAAGCAACGTAAATGAATTGGAATTAATGAGTCGACAACAATTTCAATGGATTATAAATATTCGTGATCGATTATTATCGATGAATCGATCTATGATCCTTACTTTTTGTTATTTAACACATTTCGTATGGATATTTTCAATAATAACCGGAAATATGTGGAATATTTCAATCGTATGGACTATATTTTGGTTTCTAGTTTTTCAGATAAATGCCTACTACATTTGTTCAGGTTTGAATTTATTAATTAATTGTTTGTTTAAAAAATTGAATCTATCTGATGATTAATTTATAAAGCAATTTACCAATATTCTGCATTCATAGTCATTTTACAATGGTATTTGATCATGAAACAACGATCAATAAAGAAAAAAATTGATCAATTTTATCAAAAATGTATGGTTAAATATTCAAGTTATCAAAATGGAAAACTTTTACGACAATTTCAATATGATCAAATCAATAATCAGTTTGTTCAACTATTGAAAGAAATTGAAAACATAAATAAACAATTGACACGTTTCTTGAGTATATTGTTTCTGGGAATGATTTTATTATTAACATATATAGCTTGTCTATTATTTTTGGCCAACGTATCACCTGGTTATAAATATCCATTCCGTTGTTTGATCTGTAATCATTCATTGATACTATCCATATTCATTTATAATTGTTCCAGAATTGAACAACAAAATTGGTCATTTTGAAAATGAATCAAAAATGTTTGAATTATTTACCAATGATTATTCGAAAAACATATAAGGTATATTTGAGAAACAAAAAATTGATTAACAACATATTACATAATCAAATTATTGTGAATTTTTTTTTACATAGTTTGGCGAAATTAATGGTACTTTGTTGAAAAAAACACCTGGTTTTTCATTAGTCAATGGTGTAACAATCACATCGAATACATTTATAACCGTATGATTTTTTTTATGATTCATTTTGATTGATTTTGTAATCAAATTTTTATTTTTATTTTTTTTTTATTATTATTCAAGGTTTTTGTTAACTTAACTACCTTTTTCTTTTTAATATCATCGAATATTTCTTAAAATGGTTATGTGATTTATGAAATGAGGTAGAATGATACATTCGTCTTTTGTCGATAATTTATTTAGAATTTAGAATAAAATTAAAAACCAAATAAAATTCTATATATTGAAATATCCAAATTTTTATGATCATTCATAAATATGATTATGAGATTTTTTCCATATGTTTTTTAAAATATCTATCCGAATGAATTGTATTCAAAAATGATAATAATATACCGATATTTCATTGCAAATTTGATCATCATAGTAGTGACATGAATAACTAATACAATACTAATCCATATAATGAATCTATTGGATTTGGAGACAAATTTATGGCAAAAATGGATGAAAAATCCATATTATCGTCGTATTCATAATCACATCAATCAGTTATTTTATTATAATGATTTCATTCAACTAAGATATGATCGCCTTAAAAGCTGTGGTGATAATGATCGATTGGATGCAAAAACAACAGCAACGAAAGAATCGATTGATATAATTCCACGATCATTTTGGAATGTAATCCTTCCAGGCATGGTTAACATGATGTTCGTCATTGGTGCATTACCATTTGTTCTTCGATTGGAATTCTTGGAACAATATAAATTCTTTCAAGTATTGCCACAATTCATTCCAAAGAATGGCCCAAGATATGTATTGACATTGAATGTCATATGGTCTACAATGCAATTTTTTCAGATGTTTTACGGACATTCTACCCAAATTGAACGATACGGCTTTTTACATGTTTTAAATCTAAATGATAAAGATAATGGTGGGCTACGAACATGTGAATTGTATCAATTTAAATTATTCCGAAATCGATTATTATCGTTGGAAAGATGTCTGATTACATCGATTGCAACCATTGTCCATTGTTAATGTTATCGATGATTATACAACATTCAGCATGGAAAGTGTCCGTTTATTTGACGATTTTCTGGTCAATCGTTTTTTATTTCTGTATTTGGTATATTTGTTCGAGTACATATCAATTTCCAACATTCATTGTTATCGTACAATATTATTTAATATTGAAACAAAAATCCATACAAGAAAAAATGTATCGATTCCAAGATCTCTTGTTTAACAACAACAACAACAATGAACAGATCAACAAAGGGAAACGTTGGATGCGATTGCAATTGAATACATTAAATCAAGATTATATAAACCTTCAAAAAGAAATCGTTTCTAATTATCAACAATTGAAGCGTTATCTGAACATATTGTTCATTGGTTTTAATCTTTTGATTACTTATCTAACTTGTTTGATTTTTTAGTTGATTTAACAATTGATTTTCTATTCATCTATAGCTTAGTTATGTAGCTCATATTGGTCTATTATCAGTATTGATTTATAATTGTTCAAGAATTGAACAATTAAATCGTGAATTTTTGAAAACAAATCAAAAATGCCTTCATTTCCTAAATGATCAAAAAATGTTTTGTCTTGTGCCACTTTTTACAAGGTAACTTTGTGTATATAATACCTTTCACTACTAATTTCTTATTAAATCATTAGTTAGATTCATTAACCCGTATAATGTTAGAAAAAGTAACTGGTTTCATATTGTTCAATGGTAATGTAATCACATCAAGGACATTCATTACCGTAAGTAATATATCAAAAAATTTAACAAAATTTTTTTAACAAAATTCATCATTTAAATTCCAAATTACAGCTTTTCGCCAACATCAGTACGTTTTTCTTTCTAATATCCCAGCAAATTGCTTGAAGAAAATTTGGAAAATTTTTTGTTGTTGCTCTACTTTCCGATTCAACCGCAAGAGGACGGACAATCGTGTTTTGTGAATATCAACCCAAACCAATAATATTGAGATTGAATGTTTTGAATCGAATAATAAATTGGCCGTATCGAAAATTTTTTATTTTTCATTTTTATTTCAATAATTTTTCATAATTATCATTAATGGTACATTAAATTCTATTTGAACAATTTGAATGATATAATAATTTTATTTTTATTTTGTTCGAAATGAAAAATATTGTCATTCACAATTGAATGAACACCACAACCAACTAGAACTATTAATTCAAATCAGAAAAAAATGAAACGTTCATTGTTTCTTTTTTTTTCATTGCTTTTCAAATCATCATCATTGTCTCTTTACTTGATATATAAATAGCAGCAAGAAAATAATTTGTAATTTTTTTTTTTTGGCTTGAAAAAATAAATTTGAAAATTTTGACTTTTATATTTTCTCTCTTTGAAATAGTGTTTATCCAATAAAGAATCATCGACATTGTAATCAAATGGTAAAATCATTTATCATCATTTCGATTATAACTGAATATGGTTCTATCATCATTGTTTTATTGACCATCACGAGTATAAAGTCAATGATAAAAAAACCATTTCGCATAACCAGGATTTTATTTCATTTGTTTTTTGTATTAGAAATAATAAAAAAAATAGTTGTTCACAAGTGCAATTTCAAAAAACAAATGAAAGTTAAATTCGCGGAAAAATCTCAAGATAATTGCTGTGAATCTGGTCAGATGTTGACAAATTTTTATTGAAAAAAATTGATAAATTTTATTTATTTGATTTTCTCGAAGTTAAAAGAATAAGCAAACATTTGAAAATCTTGACTTGAAAATTTTGACTGTTATCATGGAGAAATCGAATTGAAACTAACAAAAATGAATATACTCAATCTGGAAATAAATTTATGGAAAAAAATTGATGAAAAATAAATACTATCGTTTCATACACAATCATATCAATAATCTATATCATTATGATGAAATAATACGAAAACAATACTATCCACGATCAACGGAAAATTATAATGAAAATGAACAAATCGAGAAATCAAACGAAATGATTCGTCGTCCATTCTGGAATGTAATTGTACCCGGTCTGATCTGCTGTTTATATTCTTTTGGTCTATTTGTCTATCTCATTTGGCCAGATATTGTTTATGTGCATCCATTTTTTCTTATTGTACCACATATGTACCCAGCTAATATTCGAATATATTGTTCAATAATGAGTTTAATATGGGGAGTAAACTATATATTTCAAGTATTCTATGGCCTTTCAACAGATTTGCGACATTATCAATTTTTGCATATATTACATTTAAATAAATCGAATGGACGTGGTTTAGATCAGGAAAATCTACGACGTTTACGATTATTTCGTGATCGTGTGTTTTCAATTCGAACGACTAACATGTAGTTCAATTGGATTTACGGCATGGATTGCTATTTCATTTGCCGTCATACAACAACGTCTTTGGGAACATTCAATATTATGGCTATTTTTTTGGAGTGCAATTTTTATGGTGTGGTGTTTGTATGTTTCTTCAGGTATGTTTATTATCATTATCAATAATATTTATTAATGATAATTAATCAATCTATAGGCTTGTATCAATTTTCTGCATTCATTTTAACGGTCAATTATTATTTGATTCTAAAACAAAAATCTTTACAGCGAAAAATGCATCGATTCTACTTGCGATTGATACGAGGAAATCGAAAATCATTTCCAGGACGTTATTTTGAATTCGTCAGATTGAATAAGGCATTTGTTGAGCTACAGAAAGAAATTGTTTTCAACAGCATACAATTGGTTCGATTTCTATCAATATTGTTTATCAGTTTTTCCGTTGCTCTAACCTATTTAACATGTGTACTATTTTTGGCATGGATGCCAATTTTGTACATAATTGTCTATCTAATCATCTATGTTGCCCATCTAATTTCATTATCAGCATTCATACAATATGGTTCAAAAATTGAATATCTAAATAGAAATTTTCTCCGTTTTAATCGTAAATGTCTTTGTAATGAACATCATTTTTTCAGTAATAAATATTTGCTTAAAGTAAGATTATTATTAATTTTTATTGCCAAATTTTTATAGTTAATTGATTTATTCTCATTCATCATAATGAAAATGTACAAATAGCAAGAATCGGTTACGAGTACAATGCTGGAATGTCCCGTTGGTATGATGTTATTGGATGGTAGTGTCATTACTGGAAGAACTCAATTCGCTGTATGTTGAAGATATTTTTTTTCTTGTAGAAATCCAAATAACTAATTAATTTTAACTGTTTTCTTTTTTCAAAATAAAAAATCCAGTTGATGATCAATATAAGCACGTTTTTCTATCTGATTTGTCGTCGTATTACCTAAACGTTCTAGAAATGCAATATTGGTTTCGTTGTTCATTCATTCATTATACAAAGTATCGTCAACAAATTTGGTTGAAATTTAAAATATAAAATTAGACAGAATATTCATTGTTATCCTTTTCTAGCATTGAATTCTTGATTATAACTTGTAGTTATGTAATAGTATTATATTAGAAATGATTAAATTTGTTTGTTTCAATAAAAGTCTAAGAAAATAAATTTCTAACATTTGATGATAAGATGACCAAACGATTTGCGGCAGGACGATTGATTTAGAAAAAAGTGTTCCAGTTCTAATATCTCAGCAAATTGCTTGAAGAAAATTCGTTAAATTTTTTGTTGTTGCTCTACTTTCCGATTCAACCGCAAGAGGACACTCGCGCTTTGTGAATATCACCCAAAACAAAATTGATTGAATTCTTTGAAATTTTGAATCGAATAATAAATTGGACGTATCGAAAATTTTTTATTCATTTTTACATCAATAATTTTTCCCAATTATCATTAATGGTACATTAAATTCTATTTGAACAATTCAAATGATATATTTTATTTTTATTTTTTTTTGAAGTGAAAATATTGTCATTCACAATTGAATGAACACCACAACCAACTAAGACTAAATTTCAAATCAGAAAAAAGAAACGTTCATCGTTTCTTTTTTCATTGCTTTTCAAATCATCATCATTGTCTCTTTACTTGATATACCGATAACTGCTGGAAAATAATTTGTATTTTTTTTTGTTTGAAAAATAAATTTGAAAATCTTGACTTTTATCCTCTCTGTGTTGTTGATGTTGGCAAATTTGATTTGCTTGGTGAAAAGTTCAAAGAATAAGCAAACATTTGAAAATTTTACCTTAAATTCGACTGTTATCATGGAGAAATCAAATTGAAACTAACAAAAATGAATATACTCAATCTGGAAATAAATTTGTGGAAAAAATTGATGAAAAATAAATACTATCGTTTCATACACAATCATATCAATAATCTATATCATTATGATGAAATAATACGAAAACAATACCATCCACTATCAACGGAAAATTATAATGAAAGTGAACAAATCGAGAAATCAAACGAAATGATTCGTCGTCCATTCTGGAATGCAATTGTACCCGGTCTGATCAGCTGTTTATACTCTTTCGTTCTAATTGCCTATCTTATTTGGCCAGATATTGTTTATGTGCATCCATTTTTTCTTATTGTAACGTATATGTACCCAGCTAATATTCGAATATATTGTTCAACAATGAGTTTAATATGGGCAGTAAACTATATATTTCAAGTATTCTATGGTCTTTCAACAGATTTGCGACATTATCAATTTTTGCATGTATTACATTTGAATAAATCGAATGGACTTGGTTTAGATCAGGAAAATCTACGACGTTTACGATTATTTCGTGATCGTGTGTTTTCAATAGAACGAATAACATGTAGTTTAATTGCATTTTCAGCATGGATTGCCGTTTCATTTGGCGTCATACAACAACGTCTTTGGGAACATTCAATAATATGGCTATTTTTTTGGGGTGCAATTTTTATGCCGTGGTGTTTGTATGCATGTTCAGGTATGTTTATTATCATTATTGATAATATTTATTAATGATAATTAATTAATCAATAGGCTCATATCAATTTCCGACCTTCATTTTAACGGTCAATCATTATTTGATTTTAAAACAAAAATTTTTACAGCGAAAAATGCATAGATTTTACTTGCGATTGATACGAGGAAATCGAAAATTATTTCAAATACGTTATTTTGAATTCGTCAAATTGAATAAGGCATTTGTTGAGCTACAAAAAGAAATTGTTTTCAACAGCATACAATTGGTCCGATTTTTATCCATATTGTTTATCAGTTTTTCCGTTGCTTTAACCTATTTAGAATGTGTACTATTTTTGGCTTGGATGCCCATTCTATACGTAAATGCATATCTTATCATCTATGTTGCCCATCTAATTTCATTATCAGCATTAATACAATATGGTTCAAAAATTGAATATCTAAATAGAAATTTTCTCCGTTTAAATCGAAAATGTCTTTGTAATGAACATCATTTTTTCAATAATAAATATTTGCTTAAGGTAAGATGATTATTTATTACCAAATATTTAAAGATAATTGAACTTATTCTCGTTCATCATGATGAAAATGTACAAATAGCAAGAATCGGTTACGAGTACAATGCTGGAATGTCCCGTTGGTATGATGTTATTGGATGGTAGTGTCATTACAGGAAGAACTCAATTCGCTGTATGTTGAAGATATTTTTTTTTCTTGTACAAATCCAAATAACTAATTACTTTTAACTTTCTTTTTCAAAAAAAATTCAGTTGATGATCAATATAAGCACCTTTTTCTATCTGATTTGTCGTCGTATTGCCTAAACATTAGGTTAATTTTTTTCTATAAATGCAATATTGGTTTCGTTGTTCATTCATTCACTATACAAATTTGTTTGGTTGAAATTTGAAATATAAAAATATGCAGAATATTTATCGTTATCCCTTTCTAGCTTTGAATTCTTGATTATAACTTGTAGTTATGTAATAGTACTGTATTAGAAATGATTAAATTTTTTTGTTTTAATAAAAGTTTTAAAAAAATAAATTTCGAACATTTGATGATAATATGACCAAACGATTAATTTAGAAAACAAGTGAGAACAGAATTTTTGTCAATTAGTTTCCAAAAACGAAACACGTGATAATATTATATAGGATAATTTGATTGGATGTTTTCGTTTGGTACGATCCATTTTTTTCGAAAAAACTCAATTTGATTGTCATCATCAAAATCAATGGGAAATTTGACCATTTGATGGACATATTCTTTTTTTTCAATAAAAAACCGGATATTGTGTTGGAACACACACCAACACACATATACATCTAAACGAAGTAGATCATTGTCAAAAATAAAAAAAACAATTTATAAAAAAATGACCAATATTTACCAAAAACACCCACACAAACAAAAGACACCATTGAGAAGTGATCCATCATCGCGCAAGAACAAATGGTTGACATTTTTAGTCTTTTTTCCACTATACATTCCCCTTGCTGAGTTTGATTTTTTTTTCTCATTTATCATCAACTATTGAATCTTTTTTTGGTTCAATATATATAAATGAATTTTGTTATAATGTTACACACATACACAACACAGGAAAAAATCAATTTGTCAAACCTAAATGTCAACGATGATAATGATAATGAAAAATAATCCATAAAAATAGAGTGAAACATTCACTAAATAACAGAATAAAAGCTAATATAATTTACCAATCAATCAATTATTTTTATATAGAATTTAATTCCAAACTAAAATGATGGTGGGTGTGTGCATTGGCTATGATGGTCAAATATAATTTATACATCATGGCCATCAAAAGATAAGATATCTACCTAAAACATCCGTCGATTATTGCAATGATGAAATATAGATCAAACAACACGTGTGATAATGTGATAGATATGTGTGTTATTGACCTCTTAATATTTAAATTTTCAACAAAAAAAAATTGGGCGTCTATTCTAGATCAATGTTTTCTCACTATGTGATATAAAGAGATGTTCAAATGACACAATGATCGATAAGATTTTCTATTATCATGGAATCATTCTGTTCATTGTATTCACAACCATGAATGAATGTTTTACATTCTCCAAATGCTATGATTAACAATAATCAACAAAAATGTGTCTAAACATTTTCAACATCTTCATAGAAAAAATGAATGAATTTCAAAGAAGAAAAAAAATGAAAAATGATCTTCACATATACAATGATTATATAGCAAAAAGAAAAAATTCAAGTAAAAAAAACCGCCATGAATGGGTTTATGGTTAACGTTATTCAATGTTTATGATGATGCATTGAAATTTTAATCCACTGCACTTATATTAAAACGTATACACTTAATTTGAATTAACAGTATGAAGTATATACGCTCAGAATATTCTCCCTATCTCATATAATCATCATCATCATCATCAACAACAACAGTAATTCCGGATAATGCCCCAGTAAAAATTCAGGCTGCCTACAGAAAAAAAGGGTAGACAATCAGTCATTTTTATGTTTAAATCAATACATTTTATTTCGGATTTAAATTGTTTGGGACATTCTATCCACACAATGATAGTTGTGTAAAGTAAAAAAATGAATTCCAACCATATATAGGAAAATTTTTTTTTTTTTGGCATTGCATTGAAACTAAGTAAAAAAAAGTTATTCAGTTAATGCAAGTCATTCGACTTTTTTGTTGTTCAAATGTATAATTTTTAAATTGAATTCAATTTTGCTGTTTCTTCATTGGACAGAAAAAAAAATGGGTGAATATAAATAAAGAAAAAAGAAATGAATAGAATGGAAGAATAAAATTTAAATAAAGTAACACGAGCTTTTTTTCTACTACTGAAATTTGTGTACGTATGTCAATTCAACACGAGTATATTTTATTTCCGTCCGTCTTTGGTAAATTATTATTATTTTTTTTTTTTGAATGAGACATGGTGAATAGAAATGAATCATATGTAAATTTCAATTTGCATAATAATTCTCTCACCATTCTAGGAAAGCCGATAGTGAACAACAACAACAAAAAAATGAAAAGTTGATATGATCTCTCTCTCTCTCTCTCTCACACTCTCTCTCGCATTGAATGAATTTCACTTACATAATTTTTACATATTTTAAATTCTTTTAAATGTATCCACAGAAGAAAAAATAAGCAAAAAAAACAGAATTTTTGTTGAAAAAAAAACATTTTTTTGTCGTTTATTCATTCATTTTATCAAATGCCAAGCGAGAAAAAAAATATGCTTTCACACTAGAATTCTGTGGATGGAAACGGAATTTCTCTTTGGTCGATCTTTTTGGTTGATTCAATGATGCGAATAATATGTATGAAGATAGATATATTGGGTTAGAAAGATTAAAAGATCAAACAAACAAGAAACTTTTCTTCATTTTTGTTTCTTACACTCTTTTTTTCTCTTTGATACTTGACTTCCGTTCAAATGTTTTACGGACATTGTTTTTCGATTTTTCTTTTGGAATTTCCGAAAAGCTTGATGTCTGAATTTGTATGTGTGTCTTGCAAAACAAAAACAAGAAAATTCAATGAATGCTCGAAAAGAATATTCTCTCTTTCTTTCACTCAACATAATATTCATGTGAGTATTCATGTCTGATTGAAATGATACGAATGAATTCATGGGTCAACTATTTTGATTTTTCTTTTGACTGAAATCGATGAACCAATTTAAAATGGAATATTACCTTCATTTTGTGATGTTTGAATATTTTGTATTATGTGTTTGGTCATTGTGGATATGGAATATCGATTAAATATATCATTTCACTTGTTTATTGTTGTGAAACAAAGAGGCCACAAAATTGATCCCAAAGCGATCTTGAATCAGCATTATAATTATCAAACCACATTGGCTCATAAAAACAACTACTATTATCAAAAAATCAATAAGAAAAAAAGAGATAGAAAAAGAAAAATTTGGTTGTGGTAAATGATTTTTTCTCTCTCTCTCTCTCTCTCTCTCTCTCTCTCTCTCTCTCTCTCTCTCTCTCTCTCTCTCTCTCTCTCTCTCTCTCTCTCTCTCTCTCTCTCTCTCTCTCTCTCTCTCTCTCTCTCTCTCTCTCTCTCTCTCTCTCTCTCTCTCTCTCTCTCTCTCTCTCTCTCTCTCTCTCTCTCTCTCTCCTCTCTCTCTCTCTCTCTCTCTCTCTCTCTCTCTCTCTCTCTCTCTCTCTCTCTCTCTCTCTCTCTCTCTCTCTCTCTCTCTCTCTCTCTCTCTCTCTCTCTCTCTCTCTCTCTCTCTCTCTCTCTCTCTCTCTCTCTCTCTCTCTCTCTCTCTCTCTCTCTCTCTCTCTCTCTCTCTCTCTCTCTCTCTCTCTCTCTCTCTCTCTCTCTCTCTCTCTCTCTCTCTCTCTCTCTCTCTCTCTCTCTCTCTCTCTCTCTCTCTCTCTCTCTCTCTCTCTCTCTCTCTCTCTCTCTCTCTCTCTCTCTCTCTCTCTCTCTCTCTCTCTCTCTCTCTCTCTCTCTCTCTCTCTCTCTCTCTCTCTCTCTCTCTCTCTCTCTCTCTCTCTCTCTCGTTCGACACATAACCAACAACCAGAACACAAAAACAAATTAGAAACAATAACAATGCATAATGGAAATCCATTTTGGGTTAGTTTCCAGATATATACGGATACAACGGACGAATACAATCGAGAAAAAGTTATTTCGATCGATTCTAATTTTTATGTTTGCTTGTTTGTTTGTTTGTTGTTCCATCACCAAACAAATAAAAAAAAAAAAAAAAAATACAAGCAGCTGCTGCTGCTGCTGCTTGTATGGCGTGGATTCTATCGTGAACCGGACCATTAACCGATTCATCGAAGGGAGAAAAACATCAACCAACCAATTATTTCAATTTTCTTTAGATTGATTCTTTAGAATCGATACAAATCCACATGACAAGAATTGAATGAGATGTTTACATGCAAATTTATGACAATCAATTTTTCCCATAAACGCCACACACACACACACACATAACGTCGAACGATTTCATCTTTTATACCATAAATGTTGACACATATGACCATTCTTCGTTCAAACGTGGCTGTGGATACATTGCAAAAGAAAATTTAATGTAATCGCGTGACAATGGAAATCATCATAATCGTTTAAAAAAAATAAATTATTAGAATCATGAAAATGATTAATAACCACTTGATTTTATAATTACTTCAAGTCATAAAAAAACCGTGATTTAAGCTAAAATAATAATAGATTATTCAATCATTAATAATATAATGATTGACCGATCGATAAAATTCGATTGCCAAATTGTCGATCATTGAATCGATTGTCGTAGCATATATTTTTTTTTCTTATCACTGCTTCTAGTTATTATTATTGTATTCATTCATACACATTAAAGACACATATTTTCATTGATTTATATTGAAAGAAATTTTTTTCTCTTTTTTCGTCTCTTAAGATGATGACAGGGGCAAACAAAAAAAATATACAAACATTATAATTATCGCTATGGTTTCGAATTTTCGGTACGTTTCTCTCTCTCTTTTTACTGTATGTTTTTCATTTATGTTGAATCGACAAGAATTGAAATGACGGAAAAAATAAATCAGATTTTTTTTTCTCCTTCAATTTCTTGGCTTAACCAAATGATGTAGTGATTGAATGAGTCAACAGAATCAATCAATGATTAATACATATCGACAATGTGGTTGACGATGATGATGATGATGATGATGATGATTGGCAACAAAGTAAATTAATTATTGGCAATATGGTCATTATCATTGACAACAATAACCCAAAAGAACCATTATTTTCATGATTATTATCATTATAAGAAACAATAATAACGAATGAAAAAAAAAATGAAAAGAATGTAAAGACTAAAACTTTATCAAATAATATTCGTTGATAATGAATTATTATTGGGCGTATGTGTGTTGTAATCATTCTTTGGGTTTATAGTTTGTATTTATTTCAATATATGGTATTTTTTTTTATCGTTCTCCAATAT